AACAAGTAGTTCAATTAATGAATTATGTAAAGAACAGTATGTAGTAACATGCTTTTTAAATCTTGGATATTTTTAAAAAAATAGAAAAAGTGGTTCAATCAATAATTCATATAAAAAAGAGTATTTAGAAACATGATTTTTAGGTTTTAAATTATCTTCCAAAAAAAATAAACAAGTGGTTCAATCAATAAATCATATCAAGAAGATGATGTAGGATCAAATTTGACTAACATTTAGATAATGAAAAAATTCATTTTTTCAAATTAGAGTATAAATTTAAATAAATTTTGAATTTTCACAAGTCACATTATATTAAACTGGCATGTCTGAATTATTCGAAATTTCTGTGTTCTTAATATCACTAAGAGAAAATCTTAACTATTACAATGAACACAAAAAATCTATTTTTACAAGTATTTCTAAGAACATTTGATTCAACAACAATAACTTTTTAAAAAATATACATATGTGTAAAAAATAATTTCCACCTCAAATAGGCAAAGAGTTACACGTTGAAAGATGTCAAAGTCATCTACGCAAATCATCTAAATTAAAATCCATAATCTATCTATCAATATTTGATATCAAATGATAGATTGTAACATAATTATGAAAAATTGGTAAAATTTTAAGAAATTTATTTATTTAAACACATATTCTTCAAAAATTACAATATGGTTACATTTACAAATTTAAAAACTTAATTTTTTACAAACCAAAGAAATTTTTCTATTTATAGTACTGTTCAAAAACTTTCACAAATAATAAAACTATATAAATATTCATAATCAAGTTGATCTCAACCTTAGATTCAAATATATATTTGTATCTGACCTTGGTTCTTCATTTATGTGGATTGATTCAAAATCAATCCAAAATATAAACTCAAAATAAGCGCAATAAGCTAAATAGGCTTTATTTAACATTAAAGCCTATTAAATAATAGGCTTTAATGTTTATTTTAAACATCAAATAAACTTTTGATGTTTTGTTTTACATCAAATAACTTTAAACACGATTTTGTCATCAGATGTGATCTTTAGAATCACAATATTCACAAACTTTTTTCTTATGTTGGAAATACTTAAAAATAATTTCACAAATCATGTTCTTTGTAAACTTACTGTACATTTTAAATTTTTCAACAAAAGCACAATTACAAACATGATCTGTCATTGTCATGATCATAATGTATGTCTAAATATAATCTATTTTCATCATGATTCACCATTCAGTTATGCTCACTTTCTAATTTCATACTCTTCTAAGATAACAGTCGGTCACAGAAGCTTTCTTGTAAGATTGTTTAAAGTCATCAATCATATGAATAATTGATCATTAATGATGATGCTACAGTAGTTTCCAATCAAATAACATCTTAAATGTGACACATCCCATATACTTGCATAAGAGTATCAAATAAATGATTGCACTTTCAATTACAATCCGTTGTTTTATGAACTTGCAAAACCTATTTTTAAACCCTGACAATTGAAAGGCAGAGCTGCCGTATCCAACATACCACAATCAGTATTTATTCGAAAAGACAAGGTAGTCGTTAGACTACCCAAAAATGGTCATACCAACCTTTAAATCTCGACAAATTGTTTCTTGTGTATCTCCCTAGAAGCACTCTTGATTTTGCGTGATACTCACATCTCAAAGCTGTGAGAATATGCAAGATTGGTTAAGTCGATCCAATTTTAGCTTGACTCTTGGAATGAAATTAAAAACCTCAGGATTCTCAGTGTTGTCATACAATGAAATTGTACCTGCATCCAGCAGATAGCTAGCTGAAGTGTTGTCAAAAGATCCAACCAATTGAAGAATGAAAGTATATGTGTTCTTCTTGTATCTCACATCAACAATCGAGTTTTTGGACTGGGGATCAGTTTTGGGTATGAGCAATGAAGCACATGTAAACAGATCCTAGTTCATCGAAACATCGATGTAGATATGAGCTGCAGCATCTCTTTTAAACTGCATGCGTTGCAAACGATTGAGGGCACCAGAGAGAAAGCGCAAACGAGAACAAATTGCCAATGTTGCCTTGTGTCTGGGTTTCGTCTCAAGTCTCATCTAAAATCTATACTGAATAAGTTGATTATAGTTTTGGTCTCAAAGATCTCTAGTGGAGCGTAGAGATCTCTCAAAAAAAAGGCGTGAGAGTCTACCAGCTCCACGAATGTAAAATATTTTAACGTTTCTTCGATCATGATATAAATTTTTCACAGCAGTTGAAATCATGCAGTTCATTTCAAGAGTCGATCAGTTTTGCTCTTACCATGGCAAATGGCTAAGAACTTTCCGATGATACGTCTGAGTTGAATACGGAAAATAAACTTGTGGACTCCAGAGGAAGCGCACGCAGGATTTTTGGTTTGAAATACTTCTGTGAAGACTTAACCAATTTCAGCGTAGATCTTCTACTCGCTACACAAGCGTAGCACCTTGGCTTTGTGAATTCGATTACAAATAAGCTTGATGAGATGCAGCAGTTGAAATGGTTCAGCTCAGTTTGAAGGTCCATTCGATCATGTCGCTGTTACAGCAGCAAACAGCTAAAGGCAAAAGCTTTTTGCACCAGTCTGGCGGCGTCTGACTCTACTATTATCATCCTGCATCGTCTGCCCGAGTAGGAACAATCGTTGTCGATATTTTGCTCGGAACTCATTCTATTTTGTTGTATTCTTCGAAGTGATTGTTTATCTAGCATACAGTTAGATGGGAATTCTAAGAGTGCAGCAATAGGTTCGTTCTAAATATTTCTGATGAAACATTGGGGCATTTACGGTTGTGCTACTTTGGGCAAAATCACACTGCCGATAATGGACCTCCGTTAGAGATAATGAGTGGATTTGCCGGTGTCTAGCTGGTTTGTGCATCGACTGCATAAACTGTGGAGACCTCTCCTCAGCCTGCAGGTTTAATGTTGAAACTCCAACGATTTTCGGTAGAAGCAGGTTGGTTTCTTGCAGCGAAGCATGAACATGAAGGATCGAAGCTCTCGCAAATGTCTAGCTCGATGGAAGAATATTCCTCCTCACGGTTATGGCAGAAGACATTCGAAAATTTACCGTCAGATTAGCTCTTCAGCCACATCGAGGCGAGGCTCTTGGGCATTTGCATTTGATCTTACGCGTACAAGTTCCAGCTTCGTGAAGTGTATGCTTCAAGCTGAATACAATTTTGGACACCAAAGTGATTTTTTTAATTGTTCAACTTGAAGTCGACCTCTCTTCAGCTACTGGTGGTCATTTTCATTCCTTCAATGCAAAGATTTCACCACCCAATTTGAACGAATGTTTCTGAACAGTAATGCTGGACTTTTGATGTTCGAGCTTATCGCGTCCTTGTCTTGGCTCTAAGAAGGCCAACAATTTCAACTAAGTTTTGCAAGCCTGTAATAATGTTTTTTGCTCAGTTGACATTCTGAGATGAAAGTTGCTAACGTGATGGAGTTCGTTCCCCATTATATAACTTACACTTCCACCCGAAAAGCAGCATCTGCTAATAAGAGTGAGTCATCGGTTTGTTCTGCTCTTCTAGCAGTTGCTGAAGAATCGTAATCCTATTCAATCAGCACTTTTGGGAAAATAACTGGACGGAAAAGAATGGATAATTGATACCAGAGGTAAATTTCCAATCGTGTTTGAAGGTCAAAAGGTGAACGAATATTTCCAACTCGTAAAATTCTCATCATATAATATATCCATGGTCAATTTGCAAAATGCTGGAGTACAAATTGTCTAAAGACTTGAAATGTACAAACCTAGCATGTGATCAAAGAGATTAAATATTGTGGTATGAATACCACTGGAGAAAAAAGCATAGACACGAAGGGACTGACACTGATCAGATTTCTTCTGCCAAGTGAAATAATAGGAAGTGAACTCAAAAGTCAACTACCGAGAATAAAGGAAAATACGAAACCGTCCTTGGATAGAGGAAAATATGAAATTAATTGAATTTCAGTTTTCCAAGTACAGGATGAGAGGAAATAATGAGTGAATACAGATAAGTACATATTGTGAAGATCGTCTGCTCATGCTTTCATGTCTTTCTCTGAAGGAAAAGAAGCGCTAGCCGGGTCATCGACCAGTCAGAAGGCAGTCAGGTCAACTGTCAGTACCAGAACCGCACCCGGCGAGCCCGGCGAGCAGCCGTACGTAGCGACTCCGAGAATTTGCTAATTAATTTTCAAGCACTTTGATTCGAATTGTCCTAAATTTAGTCCTTGTTATAATGGCAAAGACCAGTCGGGATGGATATCAGATTCGTACGTACAATTCTTCATCCCTCCCCTCAGATCGGTTCCGATCGGTTCCTATCGACGTCCTTCGATGCTCAATCATAATTTCTCATGCATGCACCGCAACAGTACGAAGCCGGCCGCGGACGAGAAATGTCTGCCACTGTATTTTCCATATATATCCTAGAGCGGTCTAGCATCTCAAGTTACAATGTGGGTGATACGACAATCCGATGATGTGATTTATGGCCATGTCCACATGATGGAAGAGAATCTCGAGCCGTCCTGTGTCGACGGTCTTGGATCCCGTCACTGATCAGTGGCGAGGTCTTTAAATTCATGCACACCTTCATTGTATCCCAATCTCTTCCGTTGCCATTACTTGTTCGTTTAGAGGACTAGCTTGAGATTGTGTGAGCAGGATTGTTGAACCTTGATTTCTAGCGAGTGAGGAGGAGCGACTTGGGAAGTTGCCATTTCGTGAACAGCATTAGTTTGTGTTCCAATTCCTGTCGTCGGAGTTTCGAAGCAGCAGGTTGAATGCACATCTCACTTACGTGTGATAGCATTCTCGTGCTTTGAGTGCAAGTGTAAGTTTGGAGGAAGTTAATTTTTCTCTAGCGTTGACAAATTGCGAAGCTTGATTGAGAGAATATCCGCTTGGGACGAGGAGCTTGCAAAGTTGTTGCAGCTCTATCAAAGGAGGCCAATCTCCGCCGCCCTCCGAGCGAGCCGCACCAAATTCTCCATGGGGAGAAGAGCGGGAGGACGGAAGTGTGCAAGGGTTCAGGGACCGTACAAGGGCGTCACTTTTTACAAGCGCACGGGTAAATGGGAAGCTAACCTTTGGTAAGCAACTTCAATCCCATTCCTTACGTTATATCATGAATCTGCTTCTTAGAGGAAAACAGAAGACATAGTTTCACGAGCTGAATTTGGAATTTCTTTCTCCCTGGTTTTCTGCAATTTCAGCAGTTTTTGATTCTCATCTTCTGTTTTGGTGCAGGTTTGAGAATCAGCAGCACTATCTAGGTAAAGTGTGAAAATTTGCGCATCTCATCTGCATTTGAGTTTAGCAAACAAAAGAACTTAAGTTGTGGGAGTCGCATACAACCATTACATACTAGCACTAATGTAAACGTTGTTTATGTAAGGCCCCTCCTCATGGTCAATTGACGTCTTTCCTAAATGGGTGAATTCTCTCTCTCTCTTTATATTCTCTATATTGATACTTTCATTCCTTGTTGGTAACAGGTGCCTCGTTTTCTGCTCTCGAAGCTGCTAGGTATGTACACTTCTTCAACTTCCACAATCTCTGGATAACATCGAAGTCAATCATTCAATTTTCTTATATTATCTAATTGAAAATATTCGTGTTTTGTAGAGCATACGACAAGGGTATTTTGTTTACTCGGTCTTCCACGGAGCAACTAAACTTCGATCGGAGTAACTACAAGGAAGACATCCAGAAGGTTCGCTTTGTTCCCCACATCATTGGCATCATGAATTTCGCGATGAATTACAGGGGCCCTATACCATTCCTGGTGTTTCCATGCATCCAAAGAGATTGGATGCAATAGAAATCTTGCTCCATTGTTTACTTCCGCTTAGACTTTCTAGAATCAACCCGTTCTGTAGCCCTCGAGTTCAGACCCTTTATGATTTTCACGTCGCATCAAGTAAGGTCGATGATGAAAAGGAAGTTGAATGTTTGTCCTCTGAAAACTCTTACACTGGAGAGTAGAAATTGCATCTACTTGATTAGAAGTCATGCATGCACAAAGTCGTATTTCTTAGTAGATGACGTTGGTCTTCAGACAAGACAAGACTGTACTGATCCAAAGACTCTCGGTATATTTTACTACACGATCATAATATATTCAGTAGGTACGAAACAATAACGGTAGGAATTCAATTTCAATTTTGTGTTTCCGTTGTCTTATCTCAATTTTGAGCTCATGAAGACGATATCTGTTTGATTTTTCGTGTGTGACAGATGAGAGGGATGAGCTTTCTGGCTTACAGACAGTTCTTGCGTGACACGAGTAGGAAGGCGGATTGTATCCTCATGTGCAAGTCGTCGAAGGGGATTCTGATTGATGCCAATGGAAAGTGGGAAGTGAAGTACTGCTCGAAAAATCATCAGCATAAATCCCAGTAAGTCAACCGTGTGATTTGTCCATCGACTTCCAGAGTTCCGATGATATACTTTGAATCGATTTCAGCTACCTTTGAAATTCATGCTCAGCAGCATCTGCATTACTGATGCTCTCCTCTAAATCAATTTCATATTTTCAGATATACTCTCGTCGGCTGGTTCGATACCGAAGAAGAAGCCGTAAGGTAAGAATCGTGATTCCGTGATCGCAAATAATTTCATTTTATGTGGACAGTCTAGACAGGGCTGGTGCACAATTACTGAGGGAATGAATATTTATTGACCGAATTTCCATCCTGTAATTCGGCTGCAGAGCATACAATGAAACAGCTTTGCAACACGGTGATGAAAGAGCCATTGTTCGAAGTTTTTTCAAGAAAAAAACCGGTAAGTGAATCAAGTACTTTATCATGATATGAAGGTTGATTATATATTCCCATAGTTCCTATTCTGTGACTGCAGTCCGTATACTTGATACAATCATGATCAGATTTATTTTTTAACTAGCGATTTTCACCCTACAGGCTATGCTAGAGTAGCAAGTCCGACGAGAGATGATTCCGGTACGACGATTGAGAATACAGAAAGGACTTTAACTTTAGCCCATCCAGCGTCCAACAATTCCCACTCTTCAAAGGAGGAAGTGACGAGTGCATCACATCCAAGAGCGAGTTGCTGGGAGAGAGCAACAGATGCCTCTAAACGTGTTGCTTCTGGATCTATGGAAGCTTGTGCTCGAGACGACAAGAATGATGATACAGAAATGCACGATGCCTCTGTAAACGTTCCAGTTTTACCGCAACAAACGGATGGTTCGAGCCTCTCAGACCCCGATGAACTAGAGGGTACACATCGAGGTACGATCCTATCATCGAATGGTAGCAAGGGACTGCTTCAGATGAATGATGCAGCAGCTGGTCCTTCAAACATACCAGAAGAAATAGATCCTCCGAATCCTTCAAATCCTGCTCCACATAAGGATGCACATCCTTCAAATCCTGATCCATGTGAGGATGCACATCGAGATGAGATGGGGTCTTTTAGCAGAAGCAGTGGAATGCTCCAGGAGAACCATTTACATAGCTCGAGACCAAATGACTTCGAACAAAGTCAGCATCATGAGGTAATGATTCTTACTTCCTTATGTTGGTCCTGACATATTTTGTGCATCACAATAATTTCCACCGGAAAAAGTAGAACTTTCAGTAGATATATAATATACCTCTGAAGAATGCATGTGAGTCTATGCATGACATTCCCAAGTTTGAAACATATTGATTTATATTTTGTTTTGTTTCCAGGATGGACGCTCCTGTACAGTCCACAGTGATGCGGTACTCCTGAACGTCTGTAGGATGCAAAATATTTGGGGTGGTTCGGTACTCATGAACATCTATAGGATGCAAACTGAAGGGGGTGATCCGGTAATCCTGAGCTTCCTGCAACATGAAGGGTACAATCATCTCCAAATACAAGAAGAATGTCAGGGTCGTTCACAGTTTACGGAATCTGATCGAGCTCTTCAATGCGTGGATGGAGAAAGCACACCATTCAATTTCTTCCCTGGAGGGACACCTCTAGACTATTCTCTGGAAGTCCGCACATTCGAATTCTTCCCTGCAGAAGCCCTCTCCTCGGATAACCAAGATGTCAGTGGCTTAACACATCTCAAAAGGGAAGGACCTTTTGACATTGATCTCACTCTCTGAGAGGACGTCAGAAGGTGACCATTCCGTACACAAAGTATCAGTTGTTAATATGTTGGAAGGAACGAGTTTACATATTAGGAGGAGACGTACTTGTTCCGAGGCCAAAAAACCCAGAAGTCAATAGTTCGATGTATTCCAACTATTGACTATTGGTTCAGATGTATATTCCCGCAATCAATAGATCTATTACATTTTGAATCAATGATCAGATGTGTGTTCTGTAGTCTAATGATAAGAGTGTACTTCTTTTTCGGAGACACGTGCTAAAAGAAGAAGCATGCATTTGTCAAAGATACGTTATGAGTATTAACACAACTTCGTCAAAAGTTTTGCCAAGAATTTTGTTGCACGATAGATTCTGTATCCTCGTGCATTGCATGTACAAAGGCGAAATCACTCTTCGTGACATTCATCTCCAGTCAACTACTGATACAAGTTCACGAGCAAGAGAGGAATCGGCTGTGGATACAAGACGCATCGACGAGTAGATTTGGAAATGTTGGCTTGCGTACGATATGAGTTACGGCAGAGTAGGGCCGTATAAAGAGTCCATAACAATGAGTTCAAAAGTTGAAGCAGACTAAAACACTTTAGATGAGAGTAATTTGGATGGTTCAAACATCATACAGTCGAGATATTGACATGGTTGAGAGGAATTGCGAAAATTGTTGCTTCAATTTTAATCGAAGGGCCAACAATAGACTCTCACACTTCGTGTTCAAAAATTCTGATTTTGCTGACTCACACGAATCTACCGATTGTCCTCGTGTCTACAAGTCAAGGATTCAAAAAATTTATTTATCCTAATTAACCGTTTGTTGCCGATGCAATTTTCAATATCAAGAACATAGATCCGTGATACCATTGGTGTTGAAAAGATCTCGAAACATTGTATCTAAATATCATCACAACTCCGAAATTGGTTATGTATATCACGTTTCGTTTAAAAAAAATAAATTTTCTTCGTTATTGTTAAAAATTTGATTTTTTATTTATGAAGAAATATTTTTTTGTTTATTGAATATAGTTTTTGATTTCAATATATAAAATGGTTTAAAAAAATAGAAGAAAAATATATAATTGATACTGTTACATTCGTAACTAACAAGTTAAGAGGAAATGGCGGAACAAGACATTTGGATTGTTGAATACTACAATAATATGGTAAATTTTGTTATATATATTAAAAAATGAATATTTATTTATTTTAAAAGATTACCAATTTAATAATTTCACAAATTCATTTATTACTTAATGTTAAGATGCAATATAATAATATTGCAATGAATAAAAAAAACGTCATCTTAATCGTTGTCTCATTATCAGACGGCCATAAACCTAAAAAATTCAGTTCAGATTTCGTGCTTCAAAAGTAGATAGGAACCACATGGCATGACCTTGCAATTTCAATTACAATCCGTTGTTTTATGCAAAACCTATTACGAAACCCTGAAAATTGCCGTAGTTGTTTTATTACCCAAAAATGGTCATACCAACTTTTAAATCTCGACAAATTGTTTCTTGTGTATCTCCCTAGAAGCACTCTTGATTTTGCGTGATACTCACATCTCAAAGCTGTGAGAATATGCAAGATTGGTTAAGTCGATACAATTTTAGCTTGACTCTTGGAATGAAATTAAAAACCTCAGTACTTTCAGTGTTGTCATACAATGAAAAATTACCTGCATCCAGCAGATGGATAGCTGAAGTGTTGTCAAAGGTTCCAACCAATTGAAAAATGAAAGTATACATGTCCTTCTTGTATCTCACATCAACATTCGAGTTTTTGGACTGGGGATCAGTTTTGGGTATAAGCAATGATGCACATGTAAACGGTTCCTAGTTCATCGAAACATCGATGTAGATATGAGCTGCAGCATCTCTCTTAAACTGCATGCGTTGCAAACGATTGAGGGCACCAGAGAGAAAGCGCAAACGAGAACAAATTGCCAATGTTGCCTTGTGTCTGGCTCTCGACTCAAGTGGCATCTAAAATCTATACTGAGTAAGTTGCTTTTAGTTTTGGTCTCAAAGATCTCTAGTGGAGCGTAGAGATCTCTCAGAACAAAAGCGTGAGAGTCCACCAGCTCCAAGAATGTAAAATATTTGAACGCTTCTTCGATCATGATATAAATATTTCACAGCAGTTGAAATCATGCAGTTCATTTCAAGAGTCGATCAGTTTTGCTCTTACAATGGCAAATGGCTAAGAACTTTCCGATGATACGTCTGAGATGAATACCGAAAATAAACTTGTGGATTCCAGAGGAAGCGCACGCAGAATTCTTGATTTGAAATACTTCTGTGAAGACTTAACCAATTTCAGTGTAGAACTTTTACTCGCTACACAAGCGTAGCACCTTGGCTTTGTGAATTCGATTACAAATAAGCTTGACGTGATGCAGCAGTTGAAATGGTTCAGCTCAGTTTGAAGGTCCATTCGATCATGTCGCTGTTACAGCAGCAAGAAGCTAAAGGGAAAAGCTTTTTTAACCAATCTGGCGGCGTCTGACTGTACTATTATCATCCTGCATCGTCTCCCTGAGTAGGAACAATCGTATTCGATATTTTCCTCGGCACTCATTCTATTTTGTTGTATTCTTCGAAGTGATTGTTTATCTAGCATATAGTTAGATGGGAATTGTAAGAGTGCAGCAATAGGTAAGTTCTAAAATTTCTGATGAAATATTGGAGCATTTACGGTTGTGCTACTTTGGGCAAAATCACACTGCCGATATTGGACCTCCGTTAAAGATATCGAGTGGATTTGCCGGTGTCTAGCTGGTTTGTAAATCGACTGCATAAACTGTCGAGACCTCTCCTAAGCCTGCAGGTTCAATGAAGAAACTCGAATGATTTTCCGTAGAAGAATAGAAGACGTTTCTTGCAACGAAGCATGAACATGAAGGATCGAAGCTCTCACAAATGTCTAGCTCGATTGAAGAATATTCCTCATCACCGTTATGGCAGACATTCGAAAATTCACCGACAGATTAGCTCTTCAGCCACAGCGAGGCGAGGCTCTTGGGCATTTGCAGTTGATCTTAGGCGTACAAGTTCCAGCTTCGTGAAGCGTGTGCTTCAATCTGAATACAATTTTGGACACCACCAAAGTGATTTTTTCAGTTGTTCAGCTTGAAGTCGACCTCTCCTCAGCTACTGGTGGTCATGTTCATTACTTCAATGCAAAGATTTCACCACCCAATTTGAATGAATGTTTCTGAACAGTAATGCTGGACTTTTGATGTTCGAGTTTATCGCGGCCTTCTCTTGGCTCTAAGAAGGCCAACAATTTCAACTAAGTTTTGCAAGCCTGTAATAATCTATTTTGCCCAGTCGACATTCTGAGATGAAAGTCGCTAACGTGATAGAGTTCGTTATGCATGATATGACTTACACTTCCATCCGAAAAGCAGCATCTGCTAATAAGAGTGTGTCATTGGTTTGTTCTGATCTTCTAGCAGTTGTTGAATAATCGTAATCCTATTCAATGAGCACTTTTGAAAAAATAGCTGAACGAGAAACAATGGATAATTGATATCAGAGGTAAATTGTAAATTTGCAATCTTGTTTGAAGGTCAAAAGGTGAACGATTATTTCCAACTCGTAAAACATCTCATCATCACACCCTAAATCCATGGTAAATTTGGAAAATGCTGGAATCTGAATTGAAACGTATAAACCTAGCATGTGACCAAAGAAATTAAATATTGCGGTATGAATTCCAGTGGAGAAAAAAGCGTAGACACAAAGGGACTGATACTGATCAGATGTCTTCTGCCAAGTGAAATAACAGGAAATGAACTCAAAAATCAACTACCGAGAATAAAGGAAAATACGAAACCGTCCTTGGATAGAGGAAAATATGAAATTAATTGAATTTCAGTTTTTCAAGTACAGGATGAGAGGAAATAATGAGTGAATACAGATAAGTACATATTGTGAAGATCGTCTGCTCATGCTTTCATGTCTTTCTCTGAAGGAAAAGAAGCGCTAGCCGGGTCATCGACCAGTCAGAAGGCAGTCAGGTCAACTGTCAGTACCAGAACCGCACCCGGCGAGCAGCCGTACGTAGCGACTCCGAGAATTTGCTAATTAATTTTCAAGCACTTTGATTCGAATCGTCCTAAATTTAGGCCTGGTGATAATGGCATAGACCATTCGGGATGGGTATCAGATTCGTACGTACAATTCTTCATCGCTCCCTTCAGATCGGTTCCGATCCGTTCCTATCGACGTCCTTCGATGCTCAATCATAATTTCTCATGCATGCACCGCAACAGTACGAAGCCGGCCGCGGACGAGAAATGTCTGCCACTGTATTTTCCATATACATCCTAGAGCGGTCTAGCATCTCAAGTTACAATGTGGGTGATACGACAATCCGATGATGTGATTTATGGCCATGTCCACATGATGGAAGAGATTCTCGAGCCGTCCTGTGTCGACGGTCTTGGATCCCGTCACTGATCAGTGGCGAGGTCTTTAAATTCATCCACACCTTCATTGTATCCCAATCTCTTCCGTTGCCATTACTTGTTCGTGTAGAGGACTAGCTTGAGATGCGAGCAGGATTGTTGAACCTGGATTTCTAGCGAGTGAGGAGGAGCGAGTTGGGAAGCTGCCATTTCGTGAACAGCATTAGTTTGTGTTCCAATTCCTGTCGTCGGAGTTTCGAAGCAGCAGGTTGAACGCACATCTCACTTACGTGTGATAGCATTCTCGTGCTTTGAGTGCAAGTGTAAGTTTGGAGGAAGTTAATTTTTCTCTAGCGTTGACACATTGCGGAGCTTGATTGAGACAATATCCGCTTGGGACGAGGAGCTTGCAAAGTTGTTGCAGCTCTATCAAAGGAGGCCAATCTCCGCCGCCCTCCGAGCGAGCCGCACCAAATTCTCCATGGGGAGAAGAGCGGGAGGACGAAAATGTACAAGGGTTCAGGGACCATACAAGGGCGTCACTTTTTACAAGCGCACGGGTAAATGGGAAGCTAACCTTTGGTAAGCAACTTCAATCTCATTCCTTACGCTGTATCATGAATCTGCTTCTTAGAGGAAAACAAAAGACATAGTTTCACGAGCTGAATTTGGAATTTCTTTCTCCCTGCTTTTCTGCAATTGCAGCAGTTTTTGATTCTCATCTTCTTCTTTTGGTGCAGGTTTGAGAATCAG